CCGCGGCGCCCAAATAGTAGGGCCACGGCTCTACTTCGAAGCATCGCATGAATAGGCTATTTTTCAGGTCAGGGTCGCGGCGCTACTTCAAATTTTTGCCAATTTGAGTGTTGTGGAGTTCCAATAATTTACAACAATGCCATTACGATTCAAAACTGTATAAATATGATTTTTAGGGTTATTTTATGTATCTTTTTGGTGAAGAAAAGGAGAGAAGACGACTATATGAAGATTAGATCAGATAAGGATTATCACTTCAAGAGATAATGAAAATGTCAACAGATTTATGGGAAAAGCCTATAGATAAGGGTTGAAACCTTCATTTATGGTATACGCATAACTTTCTGCTCTAAGAGTGAAATCTTCTATACTCTTTGAGATTTAGTGCATCTATAAGTGGATGTAAGCAATAATATTCTACCGAACCACTATAAACCTTTCGTGTCTTCTTTATCTTCTGTGTTTATATTTCATTCTATTTCTGAGTGTCTTCTTTATCTTCTGTGTTTATATTTCATTCTATTTCTGAGTGTCATAGCGTGAGTATTCTCAGAGAGGTTAACTACCGAGTTGACGATTTTTCACGTTAACAATTAATAATAGTGTTTACCTTGCTTATATAATAGTGTATATATATATCCCCAATTTATAATAGTACGAGAATAAAAGTGTTTTTTTAAGGAAAATATAAGCAAAGATCCTATACCATGAAGCTTATTTTATGTATGGTGATTTGACTTTTCTGCACCGTCCACTAAATCTGGTGGTTCATATTATATACCTCATACAACGAGGAAAAGTAATTTTCATGGTTGTCTTTCCCTTTTGGGAATCATAATGTTATATATTAGTCTAGTGCTGAACTTTCGGGCGGCGGGCATGCTCGATGCTTGAAAATTTTCGGGCACGGCGGGCAGGCTCCATTCGCCACCCGTTCAAACTTTTTGGTCGGGCACGGGCTCGGGTAGCCCAAAAAAATCCATTCTGGCTGCCCGCCGCTAGTTGAGAAGTTGACCTCGTCGCCCGCCGGATTTTTTTTTAATTTTCCTGCGTAACCTGAATTTGCCAGATGTTGCCAAATTTTGCCCAAATTTTTATGACCGTTAGCCTGATTTTGCCCGTTGCTCGAATATGCCTGAATTTTTTTGACCGTTAGCCCGAATATATGCCCAGATTTTGAACCCTAACGGCTCTTTTTGCCCGACCCGACCGCCGCCCGAATTGTGCCTGAATTTTCAAACCCCAACAGCTATTTTTAAGACCGTTGCCCGATTTTTGCCCGAACCCGATCAAAAGCCCGAATTTCACATAGCTGTTGGAACCGAATTTTTGGGGGAAAATTTTTTTTTTTCAAGCCAAAAAATTTCCTATAAATACCCCCCTCTCCAACCATTTTCCTCACCCAAAAACTCTCATTCTCTCTTAATTTCTCTCAATCTCTCTCAAGTCTCTCTTAATCTCTCTCAAATCTCTCTTAATCTCGCTTAAATCTCTCTCGATCTCTCTTGATGTCTCTCAAAGCGCTCTCAATCTCTCTTATTTTTCATAATGGCTTCTTCTGGTAACAGTGGTGATATTCCCATTGATGCCCAATTCAACATCGAATAAGGACAATTTCTTAATGTTTATCAAACGCAGGAATCACAAACTACAGAAAGAGTTGTTGATAAAACTGCAAATCCGAGCCATGGTGGACGTACTAAAGGTCGTGGACATAATGGTGGTGGGCGTGGAGGAGAGGCAAGCGGAAGTGCTAGTGTAAGTGTTGCAAGTTTGAAGAAGAAATGCAAGCACACCTCAGCAGTTTGGGACCACTTTAACACATTCGAGAAGGTCGACAATAACGGTAACATTAAATACATAGCTCAATGCAAATATTGTGGTGATAAATTACAAGGTAACACTATTCACGGCACTACACACTTGAGAAGACACTCTAAAAAGTGTCTTCAAAAGTAAGGAGGTGGACCCGATCTCCACCAAACACAATTATCGTTTGACTGCCTAATCGGCGGTCTAACCACTTGGAATACGATCCACAAGTCAATCGTATGGAAATGGCACGCTTAGTAGCCACATTAGATCAACCACTTAGTTTTACTGAACAAAGGAATTGGCAGCGTTATATTAAAATTGTACATAATCCTAATGCACAATTTCTTTTAAGAACTACTCTTAGGAAAGATGCATTAAAATTATATAAATAAGAAAAGGAAGCATTAATCAACCTTTTACACTCTACTAGTGTTTGCATTGCATTAACGGTGGATATTTGATCCGCCGTTGCCAACAAAGATTATTTAGCTGTAACCGGACATTATTATAAAGGTTTTGATTTAGATAAGAGAATATGAGGTTTTAAATGTGTTATAGGATCACATACTGCCAATTTAATATATAACACAATTTTATCTGTCATTGATGAATATAGTTTAAGGGATAAAGTAATGGCCATAACATTAGATAATGCAACTGCAAATACTAAAGCAATAGAACTTTTTGAAAATGATTTAAGTTTGTTCGGTAATAATGGTATATTTCACCAACGTTGTGCATGTCATATAATTAATTTAATAGTAAAATCTGGTTTAAAATCAATGTCAGGTCATATTAAAAGAATTAGAGATAATATTGCTTGGATTCAAGGTAGTAATCAAAGAATACAAGATTGGTTTAGATTTCTACAAGCATGTAATCAAAATCCTAGAGCAATAGCCTTAGATATGCCCATAAGATGGAACTCCACTTATATAATGCTTGAATAATGCATTCCCTATAAAGATGCTATAACAAATTATGTTAGTGTAAAATTAGGAGCATGATTTATAGATGAAACTGATTGGCAAATTGCCGAACTCTTGTTTAACTTTTTAGGTAGATTTCACGAAGTTACTTTAACGCTTAGTGGAACTTATTACCCAACGTCACCATTAGCGTTATGAGAACTTTTAAGAATGTCTGTTTTATTTAGTGAATTTAGAACACACGAGGTTTTAGGAGTTCCTATCGCCTCTATGAAAAAGAAGTTTAAAAAATATTGGTCTAAATTATCAATGTTGTATGGTTTCGGTGTTATTTTTGACCCTAGATTAAAATTAGATGGTTTAGAAAGTGGATTAAATAACTTAGGTGACTTTTTAGCTATCGACACTACTGACCAATTTCCTATTATAAAGGAAAAAATATTTTCTCTCTATAGCTCTTATGAAAGTAGGTTTAGAAACACACCTCATGTAGAAGAACAGCAACAATGAGACAACAATCCACATTCATTCTTGAATATTTTCGGGTTGTCTAAGAAGAAGAAGAAGACGATGGCGATGACTCAAGGTCAAGAAGAATCTGGGAGTGGATCTTCATCAAGAGGTGGCGGCAACAGCGGCAGCTTCAACGAGTTAATGACGTACCTGAGCGAGGGCTTAGTTGTAGACAATAGTGAAATGTTTGATTTGGTTCAGTGGTGGAGGGTATGAGCATTAACTTGGCCGATCCTAACACGACTAGCAAATGGATATTTTTTCGATCCCAGTTTCCACTGCTACAGCTGAACAAGCATTCAGTACAACCAGCCGAATACTTGAAGAAAGGAGAAACGCATTGCAACAATATATTGTTGAAGCTTTGGTGTGCATCAAGGATTGGGATTGTTCCGACCAATGCTTACACGATACAATCTCACCGGCAAACTAAGAATGGATCGACGAATTTAATAGATTAACTTTTAATTTTTAAGACGATCCTTCTGCTTCAAATTAAATTTTATTATTGTAATTTGTAAATATGTATTTACTTTTGACATTGTATTTGTAATTGTATAACTTTGTAAGTTTGTAAAATTTATAATTCGTTAAAAAATGATTGCACTCTTTTTTCCTTACCAAGTTTTTATCCCAATTGAGTTTTTCTTGGTAAGGTTTTTAACGAAACAATCATGAATTACAAATTTAAAAATCAATAAAGAAATAATTTTTTATATAGTTTGTGTGTTCATTTTAAATTTTAAATTGTAATATATATATATATATCTATAATAATATATAAATATATAATATAAAAAATATTTAAAAATTCAGGCATTTTTGGTCGGGTTTGGGCAACCCGATCGGGCACGGGCAGCCAAATACTGCCGGATGCCCGTCCAAGGAGAAAATCGGGTCGGGTTGGGTCGAGCAGCCCAAAAATTCGGGCAGTTTGGGCTCGATCATCAGCTAAAAATTTGAACTTTTCAGTGGTCGGGGGCGGCCCGTCCAAAATTTCAGCACTATATATTACATTCAACGGAAAAAGAAAATGTTATATATACGTGTACGAGAATGAAAATGCTAGATTCCACGATCTTACATGGACCCAAATGGGCCTTACTCTATGTATCCTTGAGCTAATTAAGGACTCGTCACGGATTTAGGTTTTTAATTCGAATTGAAATATGATATTTTTTTAGAGTTTTTAACTGCAGTAAAAAAATTAAATATAACACTTTTTTAGAGTTTTTAATTGTAGAAATATAAAATTAAAAACTCAAATCGGTGAAATGAACAAGATCTAAACAATAATACTTCAGTATGTGGCAATATCACCAAAGTAGAGTATTTTATGCCTCATTCGTTTCACAGATTTAAGTTTTTAAATTAAGTTAAGATGTGATATTTTTTAAAAACTTTTAACTGTAATATAAAGAATTATATGTGATATTTTTTAAAAAATTTTAACTATAAAAATTTAAAATTAAAATTAATAAAATGAATGAGACTCTAATTTTCAATTTTAATGCTTTTTTCCCCGTATACTTCAGTTCTTTTTTTCTATTTTTCTTTCTTTTTTTGCTTTGGTTTTGATGGACCCACACTCCAATTCTACGTTTATAACATTAACATCTTGACAGTGAGATGTCCCATCTTGGATCTAGCATCTAAGACAATGCCACGTCATCCCCTCACTGCTAATGCACGTTTTCCTCTGACACAGAACCAAACACTTTTTAAAAATAAATAAATAAAAAATAAAAGAGCGATAAAAAAAGTCTTTAGCCTTTGCAATTCAGTTCTTCTCTCATCTCTCTTCCTCACTCCTCTGGCCACGAATTTCTGGTAATTCTCCCTCTTTTAGCTTTTCTTCTTCTTCTTCTTTTTCTTCTTTTTCTTCTTCTTTTGCTTTGTTGGTTTTAAATTTTCGTCTTGTTTGTTGAACTGTTATGTATATATGTATTAGATAAATTAACTGAATCCCACTAGATAGTGGATACAAATTAACAAAAAAAAAAAAAACTTTGGTCTTTTTTTTTTTGTTTTGTTATTGTTTGGGATATTTCAGACGAAGTTGGTTGTTTTTGCATTAAATTTCAGGCTTTTGTACATATTCTGTTCCACAAATGTTAAACATTCATCTATTTCTTAGGTGGGTTTTCCTTTTATTCTATAGCTGAGGTTCACAAATGGATTTTGCGAGTTTAAGCTAGGAAACATGAGTTTGGGTACTGCATATCAGCCCAAGTACATGAGTTTGTAGGGATCCGGTTCAAAAGAACAGAAATATGTAATTGTGATTATTATTATTACTATTATTATTATTATTATTGTTATTATTATTATTATTTGCAAATGGATAATAAATACTTAAATATTGTGTTGCTGACAGTTAAATTCTTTATGGCCTCCATGTGTGAGAGAGAGTATCATGATATAAAGATAAGGGTATAAAAAAGGTTAACATTGGATACAAGAGATAGGAAATTATTGCCATTGTGCCAGTGCAAGTTCTGTCCTTATTCTTTTGGCTCGTCTGCTTTTATTTATCCCAGCTAGTAGATGCATTTGTCGGTACAAGAAATTTCATCTTAGATAGCATAGGTTCAATAAACTTGGGAGTTTTGGTTGACAAGGGTACTGCTCCTTGGTCAAGATAAAGTACTAGAACTATATAAATACATACATGCCTGGTTGAATGGGAAAATTATTATTTCAAGTGTTCATTTACAACCATATATGTTTAAGTTTGGCACTCTTGGAGAATTATGTAGTTAATTGTTCCCCCTTTTCTTCATTTTCCTGCAATAAGTGCTTCTTGTAAGTTTTCCATTCTGATCTTATCTAGCCCTTTTTTATTTTTATTTTTAACTCCAAGTGTATGTCAATCATTATCCCATGTGTAGTTCTTCTCTAGTGGTCGTAAAATTGGTTTTTATTTTGTGATGCAAATAGTTCTATTGTTTCTTGGCAGGCCAAATCCACAAAGGAAGGGGTTCCATGTTGCTTCGAGTCGTAGTTGTCTCCTTCGTCTTCCTCAGCCTTTTGAACAATGGGAACGCAGGGATAACCAGCACGTTCATCCGGTCAGAGTGGCCGTCTACCGATATTCCTATTGACAATGAAGCGTTTTCAATCCCAAAGGCTCATAATGCGCCACAACAAGTAAGATTTTTCCTTCCTTTCATTTTAGTCACATGGTTATTTCATGAATCTCTTTCTGGGTTGTGATGCCATTGTATACTTTTTAACATTTTATTGCAGGTGCACATCACCCAAGCCGACTACGACGGAAGAGCTGTGATTATCTCATGGGTTACCCCTGATGCACCAGGATCCAATAAAGTGCAATATGGCACGGCAGAGAAAAGATATGAGTTTACAGCAGAGGGGACAGTGTCAAACTATACCTTTTATCAATACAAGTCTGGCTATATCCATCACTGCCTTGTTGATGGCCTTGAGGTAGTTTATATCCCTCCCTGTAAAAAGTCTTGCTTCTACGTAGCAAACTATCTATTAACGACTTCCTATTCTTCTTTCGTAAAACCCAGTGAGAATGACCTTTATAATAATTAAATTTTGGTCTTGCATGTTTTCGAATCTGGTCAAAATCACATTTTATGCAAAAGTGGCATAACATGATACAAATAGGCGGTTTAAAACAGAATCCTACTGGCAGGATATCATACCTTAGCATATAACTTTAGTAATTCACATGTTAATGTCCCTCATCCATGATAATATATCTTATTCTTTTGTGGATTTGTTAAATTGTTTTGTCCTTTCAGTATGACACCAAGTACTATTATAAACTTGGAAGTGGCGACTCTGCTCGAGAATTTTGGTTCGAAACACCTCCAAAAATAGATCCAGATGCTCCTTACAAATTTGGGATCATTGGTGGGTCTTTTCCTCATTGCATATTTATCCTTAATAAATATTTATGTGGTAGATTTATATTGATAATTTCTTAGTTTATTTCTCAAGACAAAGCAACTCAGGGTGATCTCTCCTTAATTCCTTTCTTGATGCACTTATATCTTAGGATTCTTTATAATGTCTACAATTTTGTTTTTCTTTTCTTTTTCTAAATTTACATGAGTAAGCATATTTGTATGTTTCAGGAGATTTGGGTCAGACATATAATTCCCTTTCCACTCTTGAGCATTACATACAGAGTGGAGGCCAAACAGTTTTATTTCTTGGAGATCTTTCTTATGCTGATAGATATCAGTATAATGATGTCGGCTTACGTTGGGACTCATGGGGTCGATTTGTCGAACGAAGCACCTCATATCAGCCATGGATATGGTCTGCAGGAAATCATGAAATAGATTACATGCCTTATATGGTAAGCAGTGATGCTTAAATTAAACTACTTGAGTCACTTCTTCCTTGCTCGAAGCCCTTTTAAACTTCTCATTTTTCTTTTTTCTTTTTCCAATTTGAGGGGAAGCCCTCTTAGACTATGCATCCTATGAGAAAAGATACCGGAGAAGAAAACCATAAAACACTGCTCAGAATTTCTTATTTGAATCAATATTAACATACAGGAAAAGACCTAGAATTCATAGCCATATTCTGGTCAGAAACTATCCCAACAAACTAGGAAACAAATCAGCAACAAATCAGGAAACAAATAACTAAAAATAATAAGGCCCTGATTTTATTCTCTAAAAAATAGGATTGACTAAATCAACCCTGAACTGCCCCCAAATCTCCCGGATATCAGGGATACCGGAGATGGGTTGATCTTCAACACTCCCCCTCAAGCTGGATTGTATACATCAAACAATCCTAGCTTGTAAATCATCTTCTCAAAAAGAGGTCTTGGCAATCCTTTAGTTAGAATGTCTGCTGTCAGCTCGGTTGAAGCTACATGAGGAATGCAAATGGTCCCATCTTCAATCTTCTCTTTGATAAAGTGTCGATCCACCTCTACATGTTTAGTACGATCATGATGCACAAGATTATGAGCTATGTTGATGGCAGCTTTGTTGTCACAGTACAATCTCATAGGACTTTTTGTTGCAACTTGAAGTTCTTCAAGGAGTAGCCTTAGCCAAATTAATTCACTAACTCCATTTGCCAAGGATCTAAGTTCAGCCTCTGCGCTGCTTCTGGCCACTACATTCTGCTTTTTGCTCCTCCATGTCACCAAGTTTCCCCAAATATAGGAACAGTAACCGGATGTATATCTCCTATCTGCCACTGAGCCAGCCCAATCAGCGTCAGTATAGGCTTCAATTTCACGAGACGCTCCCTTCTTAAAGAACAATCCTTTTCCCGGGCTTCCTTATAGATACTTCAATATCCGGATGACTGCATTTAGGTGTTCCTCATAGGGAGCATGCATAAACTGACTTACCATGCTAACAACGAAAGCTATATCTAGTCTCATGTGAGCTAAATAAATAAGCTTTCCAACAAGTCGCTAATATCTACCCTTGTCCACTGGTGTACTTGTATTTTGATCTCCAAGTTTAATGTTTGGATCGGTTGGAGTGTCGACAGGTTTGCATCTAAGTAACCCAGTCTCTTTCAAGAGATCTAGGACATATTTTCTTTGAGAAACAGAGATACTTGATCTATTTCAAGCTTCTCCATACCCAGAAAGTACCTTAGCATACCCAGATCTTTGATCTCAAATTCATCTGCAAGCTTCCTCTTAAAATAACTCATTTCTGGAACATTATCACCTGTTAAGATAAATGTCATCAACGTATACAATAAGTATAGTTGACTTACCATCTTCGTGTTTGTAGAATAGCGTGTGATCAGTGTGACCCTGCTTGTACCATTGTTGGCGGACTACTTTCGTGAACCTTTCAAACCATGCTCTAGGTGATTGTTTTAGTCCATAGAGGGATTTTTTCAACTTACACACCTACCCTGTTTGTCCAGCACTCTTAAAAACCTGGAGGAAGTTCCATATAGACTTCTTCAGTCAAGTCTCCGTTGAGAAATGCATTCTTGATGTCAAGTTGGTGGAGTGGCCAATCTAGATTTGCTGCAAGAGAGAGAAGGACACGGATGGTATTGAGCTTGGCAACGGGGGCAAATGTCTCCTGATAATCTATCCCGTAGGTCTGAGTAAATCCCTTAGCAACCAAACGCGCTTTGTGCCTTTCAATGGACCCATCAGATTTATACTTCATTGTGAATACCCATTTACAGCCTACAGGTACTGCATCTCTGGGTTTTTTAACCACTTCCCAAGTCCCATTTTTCTCTAGAGCTTGCATTTCTTCCTCTACTGCCCTTTTCCACTCAGTTCGTTGAAAGGCTTCTTCAATAGTTATGGGAATTTTTGTGTCTTCAAGATTGGAAACTAATGCTTTCATAGAAGAGGACAAATGGTCATACTGTACAAACTGAGCTATAGAATGTTGAGTACAGGAATAGTCATCTTTCCTTAAAGCAATAGGTTGATCATTAGTATTAACCATAGGAGGAAGGGCAAGAAAATTACCTGAGTCCGGGTTGGATTCATGACGATCCTCGAGAGTAAGAGGAGTTTGTTGATTCTTCTGATGAGAGTAAACACGAAATTCTTTATTCGGTTGGGATTTCTATTGCTGGACATCTAGATCAGGCACCTTGTTTTCCTCTTGATTATTTTCCACATCAAGATTCTCTCATTGTTTATTACTTTCATCGACCACATCAAAATTTTCTACTCTTGGTAAATTGAGATTCTCAGAGCATGAGGGATTAGGTTCTGGAATAGGCATGCTTGGTGAAGTGGTGGAATTGGGGATTTCAGAAGTGGTAGAATTGAGGATTTTAGAAGAAAAATGCCAGAAATTTCCTTCATTGTTTTTCTCCCCCTGAAGGGAATTTGTGGGAAAGAAAGGAGTAATTTCAAAAAAGGTGAGGTCCATGGTCACAATGATTTTTTTCTTTTCTGGGAAATAACATTTGTACCCCTTTTGGTTTGCAACATATCCAAGAAAATGCATTTGAAGGCTTTCGGATCAAGTTTGTTCTGATTGGGTTCATGGTTATGAGCAAACACAGTACAGCCGAACACTTTTAGGGGAAGATTACTAAAGGTTTGGTTCTCAAAAAAATGCTTGAAGAGGACGTTTAGTGGAGTTTGAAACTGAAGAACATTTGTGGGCATTCTATTTATAAGGTAGCAAGCAGTGAGAACGGCATCCCCCCAGAATTGTTTAGGAGTATTGGTTGTAAACATGATGGACCTATCAACTTCCAAAAGGTGTTTGTTTTTTCTTTCAGCTATGCCATTTTGCTGGGGTGTGTTGGTGCAAGAACTTTGATGAACAATCCCATTTGTATTAAGATATCCCCCCAAAATCTGGTTAAAATACTCTTTACCATTATTAGTGTGTAAGATTTGGATATTTGTGGAGTATTGAGTTTTAACCATGTTGTGAAAATTTATAAAAGTTTGTTCAGCATCAGATTTGTCTTTGAGCAAGTACAACCAACACACACGAGTATGATCATCGATAAAGGATATAAACCAACGCTTTGATTAAATATTGTGAGACCGTGAGGGTCCCCAAATATCACTATAAATCATGGCAAAAGGTCTTATTGCTTTATAAGGTTTTGGTTTAAACACAGATCTTTGATGTTTAGCCAACTGACATATTTCACATTGGAAAATGTTATTATTTTTAAACAAGGAAGGAAACAAATGTTTTAAATACGCGAAACTAGGGTGCCCTAACCTAATATGCCACAACATTACTTCATTTTGCCTTGAAGAAGGTTCCCAACTAATAGTATGAACTTGTTTGATCTCGTCGGTGCCCTCGTCAAAATAATATAGCCCCTCATGCTCACTAGCATTGCCAATCCTCTTCCCCGAACTATGGTCCTGAAATTGTCATGCCTCCAAACCGGGGTTAGTGACGTAGAGGCTTGTTTAGAATCTTAAACCTGTTTGAGAGAGTGATTAGTAAATGTTTAAATTTTTCAAATCCAAAACATTCAGGAATTTCCAAACAAACCCCTGCATTCAAGAGAAATTTAATTTTAAGAAGGGTGGTAGAATTTCCAACCAAACCAGTTTAAAACCACGTCCCTGTTATCAAGTCAGGAATTCCCACAGGTGTTTAGCATACATGAATATAAACAAAAGTAAATGCGACATCAACCACAGTCTAGCAATATTTATGTTTATAATCCATAATCTCTTATACATGCCTTGAGATAAAAGATAAGAGTAAATACAACTTTTCGCTTTCCGAGGTCCAAGTCCACGCCACCGGTAATAGCTATCTACTCCGCACTACTCCTCGCGTCGCCTGGAGGGGTTTAATACATTTGAAAACAAGAAAGGTGAGCGAAAGGCTCAGTAGGATATAATTTTATAAAGCATTTAAAATAAAGGTACTCACGGTCCGAAGATATACACCCGGGACCGGTCATCCCTTTTTAGGAAAGAAAATACTCATATAATAGAAAATATCTGTATAAGGAAAGTGTGCAGCTCATCACACCACTAAACAAGAAGCAGTAAAAATGTCCGTCTAGTGAAAAGTGCAGAGCCATTGTTCCACTAAACGAGAAGTGGATCCGTACGGGCTTTGGGACCTGCCCCTAAGGATGCGATTCCCACATCCCGATCTCTGTGGCCACCATGCGTTGTATCATTCCTTAAATATTTCATTTTAAGAAATGATACTCTTTAAAATCTCATTTCTAAAATCATTGAAAAACTTAATAGCATTCTCTTGCTATTTTTTTGAAATCATTTTCTTTAAACATGTTTTGTTCTAAAACATTTTCATGGGCCAAAATCATTTTAAAGTGAGGCTAACAAGGATATGGACAATAATATCCTACCTCTCGGATGTCAAACCTGTGGTTATCTTCACGTAGCCCTAGTTCCGCTTGCCTTTGAGGCTCCGATTCCAATTGTGCCAATAACTTTCCCATCAAAATCAACAATTTAGAGTTTGATCTTTCTTATCAAACATTCTCGCTTAGTTAGATGCAATTGTATCAAATTAGTGTGCCAAAGTTCAAAATCAATGTTCATAAATAATTCTTAATTCAAATCATGATTCTTTGACAATGGAGATTCATCCCGGAGAATCGAATGGAAAATAAGGATTCATGTGGCTAATCCACTCATTTTGAGTTCTCAAATGAGGTTAGGTCAATCCCACATCGAATTTCGTGGTCAAAACAGAGTTTTTGGGCTGTTTAGGGTCGAGTTCAGTGGGAACCGGTCGACCGGTGACAGAGGAGGGTAACTCCACTGGTCGGCCGGTGGAAGGGTGACCGGTCGACCGGTGGGGAAGATTTCCAGGGCCAGCCATGGCCGATCCGCGTGAAACAAAGCCAAATCTTGAAATTTTAGGTTTGATTTTG